CGATAAAACAGATAATTGTATTGTTAAATATTTTATTGAAAGACGAATTAGAGACGCGCGTAAGAATTAACTTTTTAAATGTTAATAATTTTGAGCGCTTTTTTAATTTAAATCTTATGTTTGTATGTTACAGTATCGTCGTAGTTACGTGGCTGCATAACTCCGCCCGTTGCGCATCGAATCGGTGAGTCAATGAGAAATTTTTTTACTGGTAAATTAGACCCCTTATAAATCGTGTCGCGGTCTTAATTAAAAAACTTTGTATAATAAATAATAACACGGGTATTATAGGTAGGAAAATGGATAGGTAGGACTATAGATTGGAATACGGGTATAGTTATATAGGTATACGGGTAGGTAGGTAAGGGATTCGGGTAGGCAGGGACAAGAGGATATAATTCGGTAGAAAAAATTGAAGATGAAATAAAAGTATTATATACTTAATATAATAATAATAATAATAATAAATATAATTAATTATTATTATATATATTATATTTTTAATAATGACAACTTAAATGTATAACAACTTAAGTAATATCTACTAATTTTTATATAAAATAATTTTTATGTTAAAAATTATTTAATATAAAAATTAGTAAATATTATTTATATATATATATAATATACTTTTAATATATTTAATATATTTAATATATTTTACATTAATTGTAAGACGTGTATCTGCATCATACGTGATTCAAGAATGAAATCAGCTGATTCTCCAAGCTTCTCTGACTGGTTAAAACGCGTCATATGCTCCATGCGAGCGTTTGTTTAAATTTAAAATGTTTGAAAATTACGCCGCCATGTTGTATACGACTAGCATAAACAGAGAGAAGCCTGAGAAAGGCCATCCCGGCCAGAGAGAAGCCTTCTCTAGGATCTCTGACGTGCGTTTCAAACCGCCATTACGAGGAGCTTATAACGATTTAATGCCACCACTTGCCGCAAGTGGCGTCATCGTCACCATCTCGAAATGGCCTTGAAAACGTCCTTGAGTGTAGTACTACTCCAAACTACAAGCTCCATTCATAAATTCCATAACCTATACGCTTTTGTTTTGACAGCTCGCAAATGACACTCCCGCGTTACGAGCGAGCTTGTACGATCGCGATCGAATTATGAGTGAGATTGCCCTCCCCGGAAGGCGCGTAACGCACAGCAAAGTAAATGTTTATTTGTTGCACATTGTAATATAACTTGTAAAGAATGTCCGCGATTATCGATGACAAGGTTGTCGCGGGTGCGAAGAGTTCAAATACTGTCAAGGAAGACCCGATTGTGGCGTTAACGGTATGTAAAATAGATGAGATTTTTTTCCTATGCCCTATATTTTTTATTTTTATTTCATTTCCGTTTAATTCTGATTGATATATGTATTGTCGTTCTCACACTTACTGATTAGCAATCAATTTTAGGAAAGAGTGAAAGCTCTGTATCTCTTCCGAGATCGCTATTTTGAGACGCATTCTATTGACGAAGCGATAAAAAAAAGCACCGACGTGGAGAAGGAGATGAAAGACACGCTGAGCAAGTTCGACGAGTGTAAAGGTTACGAGATTGATGGCTCACGTGCCAAGTATTACTATTTAAAGGGAAAGGCTCTGAACGTGGTGGGCCACGTCATTCCGCAGGCGGAAGAACTTTTGAGTAAAGCAGTGAAATTGGAACCTAAATTTATAGAAGCTTGGAACGAGCTGGGAGAATATTATTGGAAGAATGACGACATAAAACAAGCCAAAAATTGTTTCGTTGGCGCTCTGCAACATGTACGTTTCTTTCCTGTCTCACTCAATGCAGCTTTCATTAGGATTTAAGGATCAGCTGTGATAAAACAATTAATTATTATATTGTATTATGTATACATATTTATCTTTTTTTTTTTTATAGGATAGGAATAAAGCATCTTTGCGAAATTTGTCGATGGTATTTAGACAGGAGCCAACTTCATCCGACGAAGAGCGAATAAAAAATATTCAGCAAGGTGTGGAATATGCTAAGGAGGCCGTAAGCCTTGACACAACTGACGGATACTCCTGGGCCGTATTAGGGACTGCTTACCTGTCTTCCTTCTTCACAGTGGCGCAAAGTCCGAGTATGTTACGTTTATGCATGTCGGCATACATGCAAGCGGTAAGATGATGGATGAAAACTATTTGTTCACTATGTGTACATGATACTTACGCATGTATTACATAGATTTATAGTAGATTTTATATAAATGAACCATATTTTTTTTTTTTTTTTTTAGGAAAAAGATATCATCGCAAGAAGTAATCCTGATTTATTTTATAATAAAGCAATAGTAAGTATGAATAGATATCTTGTCATCTTTATTTTGATATTTCTACTTCTGCTTGAAATTCCTTTAACCTGAAAATTTATAGGCTCTGAAATATCAAGAAGAATATAACTTGGCGTTACAATCGTTCGAAAGTGCAATGGCGCTTGATCCATTATGGGAAACGCCACGCAGCAAACGAGATGAATTACTAAAATATCTTAAAGATATACAAAATTCAATTAATAATAATGGATATGTGAAACCAAAACGACTATATCAATTGATACGGGTATTTATATTATAGAAATTAATAATAATAAATAGTTAACAGCTAGATACATTGATACATGTTATTAATGTATGTGATAATATAACATGTGATTTTGGCACAATATACATACTTAGAGGTTTATGATTAAATGTAGGCATTGGATGTTAAACACTTAGGACCATACAAAGATGGAGCATACACATATGGAGGAAAGTCTGTAAAGTTAGATTTAATTCCGTTACGGGAATTAGTTATTGGATTGAATACAGAAAAAGTTGTATTTGGAAAAGTAGTTTGTTGGATTCAAGATTCAGATTGCGTCCCATTGTAAGTATTTACTTTTTATATTGCACAAATTATTTTTTTGCGTCATTTATCTATTTAGAGCCGTATAATTATTCGTTTTTTTCCTTATTCAGTGCTTTTTGTCTCGTGGACGAACAGAAGACATGTATTGTTGTCACTGTATATAATCTAGCTAAAGGCCGAGGAGTTACGGTCGGGGATTCTGTTGGTATACCAGAACCTTTTGTTACACATCAGAAATTCTCTTATATGAATAACGTTAGTGTTGTGTGCACGTTACAATATAAATTATAAATCAAATTTTATCGAACATATGATAATACGTTTCTCTTTCGTTCTTTTTTAGGATTTTGATTACAAATCTATTCGGGTTGAAACCCCAATTGTACTTGTGGTCAATGGAAGAAAGTTAGGTCGAGAACAACAAGCCAGCGCAAATTTGCATACTTTTAAGAAGACAGATTAAATCTGATGAGGAATACGTTGATCAATTATTGGATCACGTCCTCGGTTATCCTCAGTTGCAAATAATTTTCAATCTTACCCTTATTTTTTAATAAAAGTATGTATTATTTTTATAATATAATACTCATCAGTATATTTAAGGCTTTGTGCGATTCACGCCTTTTTAAAACAAATAATTGTTTTTTTAAAACAAATAAATTTTGTTATATGCGCCAATATATACATATTGGCAATAATCAAAAAAATAAGCTAAAATATACACTACGTTACGTCAATTTCGTATTTTATAATAATGTATGAGAACATATTAACGTGCACATCTAAGCTGCCGCATTTTATAAAATTTGTAAAAGAAAAGATGTTAATATATATTTTTCTTCAATTGTGCGATAGTAATTACGCGCATGGTTCGCAAAAGCGGCAAATATATCTACCATTTTATAAAATCACAAGACTTTGATTGTTTCTTTCATTGAAATTTATGACTAAAGTAGAAATGCCTATAGTATTTTATTTATGTTTTAAATTGTAAAAACATATTTTAATTTTAATTCTTTATTATCAGATATTAAAACATTCTGCAATGTTCTTATTGGTCTCGAGCATTTCTGCGAGTTTTGATGCAAACAAGAAGCTTCAAAATAAAAGGCAAAAAAATTAGAAGCTACCAAAAAAGGTATGATTCGTTACTAATTGTAAGAGACAAACAAAGGAACCGCGATTTGCGATTTGCGATTTGCAGATCAACGAGTCCTGTGGACTCTTGTTTTATTATCGTGAAAATAATCTATTATGATGAGCTTTGGTCATTGAGGCCTCTGATTTCGCCTAGATTAGCTAAATAAAGTATATACACGAAAGACTTTGCTGGCAAAAACAGCCGATACTCAGAAAATATAGAGAACGCGATATATGTATTTACCTTACAAAACTATATTGTTTTTAAAAGAATAGTAAAGTATAGGATGCAAAAATAATTTTGTTACTTTATAGTTGCGTATAATTTTCATCGATATTAATTAATATGTTGGAAAATCCAGTTTGCATATGATGTTATATATTTGTCGGTATCTTCTATTATGTATTATAGCACGATGTTAGGGTCGATTCAGACACAGCCGTGCCGTATCCGTACCGTGCACGAAACAGAAACATCAGACAAGGATGGAGACAACATTAGACAAGGATGAAGACAATAGGTATCCTTGTCTGATGTTCTGTTTCGTGCACGGTACGGATACGTCACGGCTGTGTCTGAATCGACCCTTATACTGTTTATTCCAAACACCTGCAAATCAAAATATTAAAACAGGGCAAGGATTGTCGCGGACGCTATCATAATCATTTTGCAAGAAGGAGGCAAAGGAGAGAAAGAGAGAAAAAGTTGTTTATACCCAGTCAAACTGTTTTGCAATACCAAAATCGATTTGTTGAGTACTTAATATAAAATTTCTTATAATATTGATTCATAGTTCCAATATAAATTCATCTATGAATACATCATCTTTTAACAATTTGTATGAAGAAATGTATAAGAGAAAACATTCTCTGGTTATACAAAAAACAACAGGACTTATCATAGTTACATTACTTACATATTAATTCGCATTTGAAGCGAAATAATGATCCATTGACCCGATTTGCATGTACAATGCATATCGGGTTAAATAAACAAAACGCACAAATCTTTTTCCATATATAAAATATATATGTCACTATCTCTTTTGTACGTCAATGGATCGATTTCGAGTAAAGAACTTACGGTACTGCGATACCACGTTCTTCAGTCAGATCATACGAATAATGCTTGTGATATATTAAAAACATTTTGTATAAAGAAGTTCTCTAATGATTACAATAATAAATACTTATTTATAACAATAACAGCATTTGTGCATTATTGTATATATGTGGCAGAAGGATATATCCGTCCGAGGAACCTTTATAGTCAGGCGTCGATGAGTCACGACAGGCGCTGGATCGTCGCGATCATTCCCAGGGACATTCCCGTGGATCTCCACACCACGCCGAAAATTATCAGTGTCACTTATACATTCTCACACTGATATACGTACTTGTCGTTCAACGTCAAGCGCGCGAGCGACGATATTCTTAAATGCTTTCAGTCCGTCTGCAACCAACGCGCGTTACGCCATCACATGTTTACCTCCCAGAGCTTGAAATAGTTGTCGATCACTTCCAGAAACCACTGACGTCTTTTCGGATCCTTGAAAGCGGGCGCCAATGTTCGTAATTGTAATTGCAGTAACGCTTCATCGCCCAACAGGCTGTCCAGTTGCTTGAGCAACGCCGTGTCGCCGTGCAACTTTAGCAAACTGGCGTAAGTGAAGATGTAGTATTGCACCCGAAGACGTTGCACGGCCCATGCCTCCACGCTACGATTGCCGCTCGCCGATTGTATGGAACCCATATGCTCCGCGTACCACGGCGAAAAGTAATTGCTCAGCTCGACGGCCGACAGCTCCGAGACTCCTTGTGTCTTCAACCGTTCCTTTATTCGCGAGTATACCTGAGGAGAGTACACGAATACCTGGAAAGAAAAAAAAAACATTCCGAATATTTCGTCACGCGTTTATCAAACGACATCCGATCTGTGTGTTTGGGATGACCAGACGCTCGCTGAGATGACCATGCCCAATTAACGAAGAGCAGAGATTGAGACCTCTAGATTGCGGCATCGTGTATTTCAAGCAGACAGTTACGCGATTTCACTTTTACTGACATTGGCGCGATGATGTAAACTATTACCGAGAACTAGATTCGGTATAATAAAGAGTTTCTGTGCAGTTTATAAACGAAGAGCTAAAGACGCCACGCATCCGTTAAGCGAGGAAGTGTATGATAAATGAACTCTGTTTCACTTTTATCTAGCCGAGAGACTACATTGAGACTGTATTCTTTTCACGGCGAGCCGATCGCGATAACGATCAACAAATCGCGTAATTAAGGAGGATGCGCCGATGCAAAGACATGAATTTCATGCCTATTTTTATCATTGTTACGGCATTGAACTGGTTGATCGCAATATTATGTAAGTGCGCGTGCATAACATACGGTGCAATCTTTTTCTATCAGAAGAAACAATCTTCTAACCATGAAAATATTAACCCATTTTCTCTTTTTGTTAGAATAAATCCCATTAATTAATGAATTATTGCAACATCGCATTCCCTTACAGAAATTTAATACTGTAAGTGATTATCTGGCTATAGTGAATAATTACATATTTTGAGTATTAAAAGCATTAAAAACAGTGCTTTTAATACTTAAAATAAGTAATTAATCACTAGTCAAATAATCACTTACAGCATTAAATTTCTGTAAGGGTTCTATATCTCGAATTGACGATTATTATTTTTAGAATTATTCTAGTTTTTATCATTAGCAATATATCGATGCCTTGCTTTCACAATCTGACTGTTATCTTAAAATTAAATACTTCGATCGCTTACTTGATAGAGCGAATTTCCCGTGACATAGGAAGCGATGTAGTGCGAACCGAAGTTCCTAATGAATCGCACCACGCTCGCGGTATCGTTGACCGAGACGTTCTCGGTTTGCCGCAACACGGAATCGTCGAGGACGAGAGTCTCGGCGGTGCCGGCGAGTCGTTGATTATCGCGGAATCTAGCGACGCGCACTAGGACGTAACAGTGGTCGCCCGTGATGAAGGACGAGTTTATGCCGAGGTGCCTGGCTATGGCCGTCTTCGACCAACTGCCGGTGAAGGCACGCCATGGCCTCTCGAGCTTCTCGAAAGTGAAGTCACGGAAATAGGCCTGTAGCAGCTGTCTGTAAATATAAATTGTGCGAATATAGAGAAATCACGTCATGATTTATCATCGCTGAATACACCGTCTTCTCTCAAGCTTCTACTCACAATTAACAGATAATAAACTAAATGATTTTTCTACATCAAACTCGCATTTAGATTGCGACAATAGATGGCATGAAAAAATTAAAATCAGTTTGGGCCATATAGAATCTATTGAATTTGTTTGCTTTTTTTACATCGACATCGCGTACGTATATAATCACATGCCTGATATTGTCGCAAAATTCCATGTGGAAGTCGCCGTCGAAGACGGCGATGCCGCTTTTGCTCGATTGGCGTAGCTTGGGCGGTAACGGCGTGGAATTCTTGAAGACGTCGAGGGTGGGCTCGCGGAATATCCAGGTCTCCGTATCGTTGCGCGGCACCACTCGCATGCTGATGCTCAGGTAACCGTAACGGCTGAAGACGTTCACGGCGCCGCCGAGTCGCGGACGCTGCGACCTGGTAACGCGAGTGCCGATCAGTAACGCGAGCGTCGATGCCAGGAGGAAGAGCCGCGTGCGTGACCACATCTCTGGGCGGCTACCTGGATCAGTGATGTCTGAAACACAAATCGCGAATCAAAACGCGAAAATCAAATATAAACAAAAATAAGCAAACGATGAATGAACTATGAAGCTCATTTATCTCTTAAAGTATTTAAGATAATCTGACAGTCTTGACGCAATGTTCCAGATCGAAAAACTGAATTAATCCTGCTTAGGCTCACCCTGTGCAAGCGTATCTCGGGTATCTCCATAAATTAAAATGCTTTCTTGCGATAATATCCACTGTTATTTCACCGCGCCGTAGATGCGAGAGAGATATTTCTTTTGTCCCATTCAATTTCGCACCGTGAAACAACATTCGCATCTTGCGAACGTTGGGATACTGAGAAGCCTATCTCGATTTGCGCGAGGAAGCTCGTCGTCGTCGTCGTCGCAACTACCGGTCTCCGACCGCACGTGCACATCTCCGTGCACGAAGCCGTCGTTACCGCGTTGTAACGTATCTCGTTATGTGGGTCTAGGTGTGCGGCCGTCGAGGTGTTTGCACGAGCGAAGCCAGCGGCCTTCATCCCCACCTGATTTGCACCAGACGAGCACCTTGATCTACCGGTGTTCTGAACCTTCTCTCCCTCTCTACGTGCATCTTGATTCGATAATTCACTCCTTCTCGCCGATCAGGAAGGACGGCGGGCGCACGTCTTCCTCCAGACAGCGAGTGGGCGACCGACCAGCCTCGGCCGTCCCGCATACGTTTCGCTTCGTCGCGTCTCGATACGGAGGCGGACACCTTGCACGGACATCATAATAACGCAGACGATTGTCATAATTATCCAAGCTGCTTTGACGATTAACTCGAATTATGCTTTTGGAATGAGCAGTGAAACAGGAGGGTCAAAAGAACAACTGTATGACAGCGTGCACATTTTGTGGATACCAGATGATGTTTATCATAACTGATGACACATTGACGTGGTTCATTTGGCACGATTGAAATTTGGGTGAGGAGTTACTGCTTACTCTACAATTTGAATTTGAACAGAGAGCGCAGTTATAAGTGGTTTATTAATGTACATAATTTTTCCCAGACTACTCCTCGAGGAATGTAAAAACGAGCTGACGGTAATAATTAGCAACTCGGGATTGCGAAGCACTTTGAATTTTGCAAGATCGCACTTTTACCCACTGGTGAATCTCAGCCAGTTTGAATGCAATTTGGCGAAACTTCGGGTCTGCGTGAAACAGAGCAGAGAAAGTTACATTTTCAGGCAATAATTTTTATAAAAAATTGCACGAGCTATCCTTCCCCGTCGTTATATAAACAAAGACATAATGGGGTTTTAGAAAATATCAGAAATTATATCACTTTTCTTTTTTCTTTCACTTTTTCACGCTGTTCAAAAAAGAGTCACGAGCCACGTGCATAATTCATAAAGTATCAACGCTTCGAAGTACAGCGATTCCGCAACTATAATGCCTTTTTCGAGAAGACATGGCAATATATTACAATTATAAGAGGAGCTGGATTACACCAGATAAAAGGTTAAGAGGCCGTTAGAACGGCGAAACGGTTTTCTCCTGTGCGCCTCTCACGAGAGATGATTAATCCACGTCTCTTAATGTTTTCACTCAATTAAGCACATCCGCCCGTATGTAATAAAACGTATCAGAGACATCGATGCGTACCCGCACTCTGCACTCTCTGTCACCAGAATCGCCAAAGGTCCGAAGTGCAAGTCCGAAGTGAAAGTGAAATTAAACTGCCACTTCTCCCTCGTGTGTGTGTGTGTGTACAGCCGCGAAAAAGAGACTTATAAAATTATGACAGACGCATGATGCTTGCAGAGGTCATTAAGACGACGTTAAAAGCGGAGTACACGAGGAAATACGTGCACGTTGCGTGAGGCAGCATCGATGTTCAACGAAATGGAAGAAGAGAATGATGCGGTTCGATAAGAGCGTAACCCGCTTTGGAAATTTCATCAAGAATGGCCATCAGCTTATTTTCGAAACAAAACTCTTGCTTTGCCCGCAGAGGTACGCCGACGAGCGAGGTAGTAATTAAGTTTTCTGTCGTCCAATCGAAAAGATGAAATTACTCGGCCTCGCAAAGGGGGAACAGATTCGATGAATTAAGTTTGGCGAGAACAACGAAATCAGCCCGACCATTCTTTCTACTTATCAAACAATCGTTTAAAGTATCATTTGAGTATTTTTCTTTTCAGACGACAAAGGGTAAACACGCGATATTTCTATTTTTTCTTTACATATAACATATTTATAAATAATTTACTCGCGATGAGAATTATTCAACCTTTCTGGCAACGAGTTTCATTTATAGATACGTATCTGTGAATAATGCATTTGTAACGGACCGTGAAACGCAGTACAGTAGATATAATAGATGATCGTGATAGAAATTAATTTAACGTTTAATGAAGCTTCGTGGGAGCGGATAATAATTAAATCGGCCATCGGTAATAATTAACGGAGAGACCGGAAAGTTAAATGACGTTTATCGTGCGTTACACGAGAGCACGTGCAATTGAACACGCATTGCATCGACGTTTAACTGACATAACGAGTGCGCGATAGCCCGATTGAACCGCGGGCCGCGATTTTTATCTCTCGAACGACGCGTACACGCCCCAATTCGTCTTCCTCGTTGTTACCAGAGAATAGAACTGGCTTGCATCGTTTCGCCGTTCTCTCGGCGAATCGATTTAAATTAATATCTCCATTGCAACGGCCAAACGGATCGCATTTTTGTCGCGCGTTTGCTTTACAGTTTGCCGGACTGCTCAATCGCGGATACTCCGGGGTAAACTTTGACATTCCTGTACGCTCCTGTCTTCTTTGCCCCAGTGGCCTTTGCAGCCTATGAGAATACCACGAAGCGATTAGCGCCAAGTTATAATTATGTAACACGGCTCGATCGATTTTTATTTTCGCCCATATAGAAGAATAGCTCCGCGGATATGGTGAGATTAATTGCTTCGTTAATTTTATAAGACACTCGGCGAATATTCTTTTTTCTTTTATTTAAAAATATTTCTTGATTTTGATGTATTAGCACCGTACGCGTTAATAAATTGTTTCGTTGAATGTCGACAGGTAGAAGTTTAAATACGTTACGTTCTCACTCAAAATAACCGAAAGTAAGTCTCGGTTTATGTGCGAGATCTAACAGCGCTCGATATATCAGCCGTCAGCTTAAGCCGCACCATTTTTTCATAAATGCATACTATATGACTAAACCTCACCACTGGGTCAACGCAGTGAAGGTGAGTCACACGAGTTATTTAGCGCATATGTTTTGTGTTCCATTATTGGCGCGACGCGATACCCAATGTGGTGAATGTGAAATTTATTATCGCTGTGTCTGTGCGCGGTTTCCGCAACGATAGACGAAGTTTCGCCTTCGGCTGCTTTAAACGACATCGCGCCGTCGTCGTTTGGCCCGGCGACACGTACGAATCTCCGGTAATTCATCAGAGTAATAGGAAGTCGTTTATCGATTTATCTCAAAAGAAAGATCGCTCCATATACCCAGATTCGGCGTTACCAGCCACGAAGGAAAGTATCCATGCATATTCATGAGATTACGACAAGAGCGTCGAGACGGAGAACGTCTCGATTGTTTCGCTTACTATCGCTTCGCCCGTCGATCATTGCGTAAAAAACGCTGGTTTTTCAAGACTGATCTATCTCAACAACAGCGACTATTCGCGTTTGCCGCCTATGTAACAAAATATTTTACAAAAGCGCTTATTTAAATGTAATCTACTTGTGATTAGTTATTTTAATGCAACATATGTACAACGCAAAATGCAATTTTTATTCTATCAACTTATTAATTCCGTAATACTCCTTTTTGATAAGTATTCTCAGCATGTTTTATTAAAATCACTTGCAGTACTACTATGTTTAGAATTCGTATTTGGACTTTATACTATGCACTTGTATACTATATAGTGTTTTAAACCTTCAACTAGTGCACTTGAAAAAGGCGGTAATAGCGAGACATTGAGAAAAGCTAAGTCACCAAATTAGTAAAACGGAAGGAACGAGTTCCGCTTTCGCCGTTGCTTTCGAGCATGCGAGAGTGGTTTTCCAACTTGCGTGATTAGGATTTTACGAACATTCCTGTCGTCGACGTGACGTTGACATTGCGCGTTCTTACTTTCAGTTCCAAATCATTTTATCTAATAAATTAATCTGTAAATTCCAAACGGTAGTCTTGAAAGTATAAGTAGTTGACGACGTAACTTTTTTTTTACGACATGATAATTGTTTATTCAATGCTTATGCACAAGATTTTTTAAATGACAGACACTTTCGCAGTGACCAACACTTACCGAGTGTAAAGTAGAAAGTTACGTGAAATTTAACGTTGGTTCACGAGCGTAAACCGGCACGTTCCTGTACGCCTGATTGCTGGTGCATCGAACGATAAATAAAATTGTGTAATATGTACGCATGAGCATCTGCAAGATACCGGATGAATAATATCCCATACGTGTCTCTTAAAAAAAAACTGTACAAATCTCAAGCAATTTCTTAAAAGATTTGATTTATTTGAAATAAAATTTATTTACGTGAAATAATTAGTATAAATAAAGTTGGTAATCGCAATACGAAAATATCATTATAAAGTAATTTGAAGAGCTTAGCAACACGTTATAAGATCCATAATAAGATATACAAAAAATTGCAAATTTTGCATTTTTCTTATTTGCATCAATGAACAACAAGTTAAACTGATATTATCAGCGAATTCTGTTGAATAATTTCCTAACTGTCAAGAAAAATCTACGCAGCAGAGAGTATTTTTTAATGTTAAATATCCATGTCTATATTTGCGTCCGTACATGTACGTCTAATTGTGCGTTTAGCAGTGTACCTATCAACATTGCTAACGATCGAGAGAATAACAAAATATACGTCGCATTTACATTGCAAACAGGGAAAGATAAATTCAGCTGTATAACGAGGAGGTTATATAAACCTCGCAAAGAATAAAAGCTATTGTAAAAGATTTCTGCTGCGGTACCTTTTTGAGAAATCGATAGAACGTAAGATGCAAGCTGAAGGATACGATAAGTCGATAGGGAACTGGAAGGTTCACTTGCCTCAACTTCCTATTAGCGTTATTTCTACCATTACGATCGTAGTGAATTGCCGTGACGTAAAAGAAAAAAAAATCTCGGTCGAAGGATAATAATTGAGCGTATGGCCGGTTGCGATTCGCTTGTTGCGGTGATATACAGCGGCGCGCAGAAGCCAATGGAGAAGAATTATTTAAGTAGCCTCGCGGTTGTAACTATTGAAAGGGGCACATACTGCGTTGTCCCATTAGACGCAGGAAACGCGATCACGCAGCGTCGAATGATCCAAACAACCGCTTTAGATCTAATTGAGGTAGGTCCAACTAAGCAGGACTAACCAGCCCCGCGGTTAACGCGGCGAAAATTTCGAAGCGATCGAACGTAACCATCATCGAACAAAATTGATTGTAAAACTCGACAGTTGAATTTAATTTTGTGCCGCTGTCATGGAAAAAATATGGGCACTGGAAAACTACAGGTGCACGGTGCACCGAGGTAGGTGTATATACGTTTCGCTCGTTAGCAAAACCAGTTCTATGCTGTTTTGAGGTAGAAACAATATTTTCAAATAAAATACTAACGAGATCGAGATACGCGGTTGCGAAGTGTGGTATAAGCGGACAGAAGCGGACTCTTTCTCTCTTTCTCCCTCTTTCTTTGCTAAATAAATCAAGAAAGTTCTCATTTTATTTACAGTTTCAATTTGTGATCTTGCAGAAATTTCATGCTACTCGTAAAATGATTGACATAAAATCTTGCATAAAATATTAAATGACGCATAGAATATTTTATTCTGAGCAAGATAACAATTTTGAAAAATGTTTAAAAAATCTTTTTCTCTTTTGTTCTACATATTCTTAGATATCTTTTTTTGTAGATATTCTTAAATTTCTTTATTGTAGATATTTTTATATGTCCTTGTATATTTCTATAAGAATATGGACATTGGACATTTATTTGTGCAAAATCTGGTCGATTAAACAATGGAATGTTTAAAATACATTGAGCAGAATCAACGCCTGTAACTAATTGCTTATTACAAACAACGCGCGCATAATTTTTAATGCGGAAACTAAACTAGGCCGTTAATTCTATTTAAGATAAAATTTATGTCCAATGTGCAGAACATGTGCGTGGAAAGTGAAAGATTGCGATGCCTCATCAGCGTCTTGATTTACTGCACGTGCACTCGGATATTTTTGAGTAATTTAGCTGCAGTTTCATATATACATTCCGTATCATATTTCGAATGCCAAGCCGTTGTCGTCAAGTCTGTTAAGCACTATCATTTGCATATAGGAACGTGACATGAAAACATCGTGATCAATAATCCGCATGAAGATTATCGGAATAATTTTAAATCACAATATGCAAGACGTTCACATTTCTCATTAATTGCTTGTTAACGTAAATAATTCGGATTTATTCTCAGAATTTGTACTACATTCAAGAATTAATTTAGGTTGCAATTTGGTGTATTTTCTACACTCAATGATATATACTATAGAAATCAAGCGTAAAAAATTTATCAAAATATGTCCAGAGATCATATTAAAATATATAAATGTGTAAAGATTAAAAAGAGCAGAAGAATGAACTCTTAAAAGTTCTTATTCTGGAAAAATAAAAAAAATATACGAACGGCTTACCCTACCGGATCACACAAGTTTACTCCATTTCCGTTGATTGGCTTTCCCCTTCGTACAGCAATGCCTCCCTCCCCGTGATGCTAATTGTTATGGGTCACTGACTGTACGCTTGTTACAAGACTCTAAAAGATAACTCGACTTTCCAACGTTACCGTTCCAATCAACTGTGCACTTGTTGCACTACATTTTTCCGTTTCAATTAATTCCAATTTCTCGCGTAATCACGTCTTCTCTTCATTCGTGAATTGTGTCGTGTGTTATAAATTAAAACTGAGGTCAAAATTTTTTTACGATTTTTGGATTACCTTCGTGTGAAAACTTCCAAAAACGGATGCAGAATTTAATACAACGTGTATTTGCGTATGATAATACGCGAATACATAGTCCGCAACTTGTCGATAACATATTCCGTTATCGAGCAAAATACATTTCTCCGAATCTAAAATTTTGCCATGTTTACAATGTAAATTTAATTTGATGTACGATTTCTCGCCGCTGCGTGATATCGATAAGTATTTTTTCGTAAGCGGCTATATCGCAAAAAACAATTTAGCTGTCGTAGCTGATTTCGTAATCTGCAGCTCATTTGGATGTGGATATTCACACATTTCTGGGAACGCGCGGAGGAAGATTAAATTAAATTACGTTTCTGATTATTGGTATTTCTAGAAAAAATATACAGGTAAATTGTCGTAAATGTTTATCGACGTTGTTCTACTAGTATGATCATGTTAATTTGCATTAATAGATGTTATCTTGTGTAACACCGCCGGATGTAGTAATAAAAACAATAACCGCACGTGTCATGGTTAATTACACAGGATAATACACCAATATAAAAATCACAAATCTAGAGAGATGGCTATTTTGGATATTACGTGATAGTGTGTGAATGTGTAAACTGGTTTAACTCGTATCTTGCTAACGTTTAAAACATGATGTCACAAGAACAACGATATTTTAATTTCAATCAAAAGTAATCAGTAATAATCACTGACTAACACGCCTTTTTACGATTAAGAAACAGTAAAATTTCCGGAGAAGCATCGGAAATTGCCTCGCTGTAGTAACAAAGTAACAAGTAACATCAGCGATATCGTTGCTGTATCATCGATGCGTATTGCGTAATGTAATCATTGAATCGCGGATGCAGTCGATTACAATCTGACGGACGACAATCTGCGACTTTTGAGCGAGTTAGACTTCTGACAAGCGCTTAGCCTTCTTTTTCGCGTAAAACCAATTCCGTATGCGTCGCGATCGAGGTCATTCACTCGACTGACGCACGAATGTAAATTAATCTCGTTGTCGCGTACGGTCCTGCAAAGCAAGAGTTTATTTTTAAAAGTGCATTAAGAAATACAATACGAAGTGATCTCACCAATCTGCCTCGGGAAAGAGATATTAGCAGACTCGGTTTAAACAAACATGATTTAATAAAGACGTGCTCTTAAAAAAATGTGAGCACATTTGTTGGTGATTTCTGATATCTTGGAATTTATTGAGAACAGCAATATAGAGAATATGAGAATAGCCAAAAAAGAGCAGTACCTACGTTAAAGTACTTTAAATTTTATGAACGTCTCGTTCGTTAAAAAAAAAGAATTGTATGGCATCGAAATTATTCATGAGAAGCCAGAGCTGAACAGATTTTTTAATCCTAAATAAATTTCTACGTACGAAACGTATGTCGTTACAGGATTCAGCCAAGGTTCTTCTCCCCATTCAACCTGCATTCCCTTTGTCTCGCCAAACGAGTAAAACCAGATTTTTGCGAAATTGCGCGATCGAGGGTTGTTATTTCTCGTCGCTAAAGTGTTATTATCCTATCGGATGCGCGAAAAAGCCCTTCTTTTATGTCCGCGAGGTTCCTGCTGACATTTGCATAAGTATGTTAAATGGAATGCCCGGCGTTTGCACTTAGAATGTTATATATACATATATGTATAAAGAGCATTATATTCCCGCAGATGCATATGCGACAACTATATATATATAGCTGTGCAGGATGTGCAAAGCATGAACTAAAATTCTATTTAATATAGACTTATTGTTAATCGCATAAAACTGTATCGCTCTTTGAATGCAGCATTTGAGTA